AGAGAGAGAGAGAGAGAGAGAGAGAGAGAGAGAGAGAGAGAGAGAGAGAGAATGATCAAACAACAAGGATTGCCTTAATTGGACAAGTTCTATAGATCTGCCTGATTCTTCCAACAGGTGCTGATTGTACTTTGCTGATAATAATAATAAATATTCAGTTGTATGATTATTTTGAAAGAATGTCATATTTCTCTGAATAAACTCTGATATTATGTCAGTTGTGTTTTGTTGATTTGTCATTGCTATGTGTGTGTGTGTGTGTTTGGTGTTTTATGGACTCAATCTCATTCTTTAGCTTAAATGTCTTAATAGTTTCTCATATTCATAAGTTAAAACGTATAAATGAAGCATTGTTTTGATAAAATTGGTATAAACCAGAGAAATGTATTTTTTTAAAAAATATTCAAACCGTTTGAATATCATTCAAGCCTTATTAACATTGAATTCTATTAATTGCAGGATTGACATTTTCAAATATGTGATCTACGGAGTAGCAGCTGCCTTCTTTGTTTATGGTATTTTGTTAATGGTGGAAGGATTTTTTACAACTGGTGCCATCAAGGATCTCTATGGAGATTTCAAAATCACCACTTGTGGCAGATGTGTCAGTGCTTGGGTATGTTAGTATGACATTCTTGATTACATAGCTGTCATAATATGCTAACTTCAGCAGGATCAATGTGCTTTAATTTAATCCAGACAAAGTTAGACACTGTCTATAGACTCCAAGTATCTCTCAGAATGCATGTCTACTAAAATAGACTTATAGTTAAGATTTAATAAAAAATTCAAGTTATAATCAACAGTTCTTTGAAATTGTGATATTTTTATTCATTATCATAAATATTTATTTGTCGCTAGCACATTATTTTGTTACAGAAGAAATTTTACACATTTGATACCTTTAACTATATATCGTGGTTCTTTTTTATCTAATCTTGGGGCTTGTTGGCTAGAAAATCCAATCTGTTCAATATGAACAGGCAGTTCTTATTTGAACTGCCTTGACCATAAACGTAGCAGTTTTACTCATAATGTATACCTTACAGTGCAGGATGGAATAGGAAGATGTATGATTCATGTCCCTGTTGGTTGTTCTTTCAAATACGGATGTCAAATATCTAAGCCTAAAAGAGACAGCCAAACAAAATATGAGAAATACCTTCAATGATTAGGGCACCACATATACACATCCTCTCATGATATGGCAGGTGATGAGACTGCCCATATTTGGCATGGAATCCCACAACTTAAGTGTGGTGCTTGAATAGGCCCTTCTTAAGAATTGTGTCAAACTCATTGGCAGGTATTTGTTTACTTGGAAAATAGTTTTGTTCTCTGTCAGTCAATTTAAAGACTTATTTTTTGCTAATAACTCGCTATCTGTTTCAGTACTGATATCTAGGACTCTGCTTAAAAATGTCCTTTTGAGGGTTGCTAAAAATAAATGCTGGGTGAAAAACCCATGCTGTGAAGTAATTTTACTAAAGTGGCTTATCCAGGAGGTGGATTGAACCATGCTTATCCATTCTACTAAACATATTTTGAGTAGCCTATCAGAGTCCATTTAATAAATATACAGTATATAAGACTAATGCAAGATGCTCTCTTTAATTAAATAATAAAAAATAATCACAGTGTGGGTCTTATAGTAATGATACTATCTGGGGGACAAGCATAGCACAAGGGGCAAAAAAACACCAGATTTCATATTTTCTCTTTTGGAGATATATATTAACTGAGCAAGATATTTACAATACATTTATAATAATTTATATCTAAATTTGACAAGCATGGGAAGCCATAAATGTGGCTTTAATTTTAAAAATAAAGTATTTTAACTGGTTCCATTTTTGGTATGAATACCACATTAATTCAGTTGGCGTATAAAAACATTATGTCAGTCTCTGAAATTTAATCTGATAAGAAAGACCCGTTTTTATCATGCAATTTGTGTACCTCATGTAAGTTTCCTGAGGTATTTTATTTTTCATTCCTTATTCAGAAAATGTATCAACAAATATATTCTACTTTATCTTTACTTTAGTTCATGTTTTTCGTTCTTATCTTTGATTTTCAATTTCTCAAAAAGTTTAGAATTGAGTAATTGTTTAACAGAATCCTTTAATTATTCATAGTCTATTTCAGAAAAAAATGAAGTTTACTGTTGTTATTTTTAATAGCATTTGGTGACAACCTAGTTTCTCAATAAATTGATTTTACCACCAAATTGATTATTGATTTTTGTAATAAATTTGCATACATTATTAATCATTAATGTTATAGCAATGTTGCCATTAAAACTCTGTTCTATAATCTGCAAGCATCTTCCTTTTAGCTACTCACACCAATGTAATAATCTGAAGCATTTCAGTACTTCATGAATTTTCTTATCCTATATATGTACATCTCTGCACATTCAGCAAAGTACAGATACATTTTCCTGCAACTATTAAGTCCCTTGAGCGAGACAGCTGATCTAGAAACATGAAATAGAAATAAATAAAAAAATAAGTTATATATTTGTCCTGAATCTTATATATTTAACAACTGATTCTAGAATACTTAATTTCTGTTGAATTGAATTTTCTGACTTGAACTTTCTAAAATGATTTCTTTCTTTCTTTTTCTGATCAGAAGTATTCACAGTTGTAGAATTTTTGCAAGTATATGAGTATTAAATCCTTGGAAAATTATGATTTTTAAAAAAAACAGTAGCTACCTAAATAAATATCAGATAACCTTTGCAGCTTGATGCCCTGACTAGGAGGAGAGGGGAACCAGCCGCGTGATAGGTGGGCCAGCACACATATGTGTGTGTGCAATACAATTCACATGCACAGTGGGCATGTACACTCAACTTCATGTACACTCAACATGTACACTCAACCTCAACTTCAAGTGGAGTTGGGTGTGCATGCACATGCATGCTGGCCCGCCTCTCATGTGAGTTGAGCTGCAGGCATACACGTTATATAAAAAAAGAGTAAGGGTAGCCTAGAAGAATGGTAAGTACTATGTAATAATAGTAGAATTATAATAATGCCAAAAATAATCTGTATATAAATCTGAGGATATATTTTTTAAAAACCCAGTAAAAATGAAAATAAAGGACAAAAAATAGAAAATGAATAGGAAGAGTATATTGGCCTAATTGCTTTTTGAAAAATGATGATATCTCCAATTCCAACTGTATGTATAATGCATAAATTTCACTTTTTTTCTGAAAGACTGAAAGGATACAAAGTAAATAAAATTAAAACATTGGCGTATTTCTGGTAAAAGAGAGGGAAAAGCAGTGCTTTGATTACATAATGTATATTGTAGAGATCAAAATTGACAACATTGTACCTTAGAACATTGTAGCTTACAGCAAACTCAAGGCCCAGGGGTTGGATCCAGCCCACGGGGTGCTTAGATTTGGCCATGGTGCCACCCTGGAAACAGCGAAGGACTGGCCCGTGGTGCCTCTGCCAGTGAAAACGGAGCTTGGGAAGGCCATTTTCTCTGACAGAGTGCTAAGTCCACCACAAGTGCCCCTGAAAGGAGTGATCGAGAAATGGCCACGCCCACTCTGGCCATGCCCACTTCATTCCCCCCAAGGTAAACATAGCCCTGATGCGGCCCTCAATGAAATCAAGTTTAACACCCCTGCCTCAGATTATTCAGCAAAATTTCAAAAAAATAGTTTAAAGTTCAACAACCATATACTTTCCACATTTAAATATTTTTAGAAGCGCTGCTTTGTTGTGTTTAATATTATTTTATCATATGCTTAGTCATCTGTTTAATACATAATTCTTCTGCATTATGTAGTTTGAGAGATTTGGAATATCCAGAATATAGCAGACAATTTTTAAAATAATTTTATTTTAAGATGCCCATATTCCTTATTTACATTATTTTTTTAAAATAATAAAAATACTCTCTAAAGTTGTTTTCCATTCTGGAATTTTAATCTACTTTTGCATGGATAATGCCTTAGCCTGATGGATGATCACCACTAGATTGTGTTTTAGTGTGACCATCCACAATTGATAGCTCTGCATAATTCATCAGCTTTTGATAACACTGACCATGATACCATCTTCAAACAACTGAAGAAAATAAGAGTGCCTCCATTTTAAGTACTATCATTAGAAAATATAAGTATTGTTTACTCAGTTCTCTAGGAATGCTCCTCCTTATCTCCTGTATTAATATAATATTCCTAGGAAGCCACTGAGTGAAAGATCACGTGCAGGTTAGAACTACTGTATTTTTCAGACTATAAGACGCACCAGAGTATAAGACACACCAAGATTTTGAAGAGGTAAATTTAAAAAAAAGTTTTGCACTCTGCAGGCATCCCAAACCCTCTGCATGCCTAGTTTTTTATGAAAAACAGGGCATACAGCGAGTTTGAGAGGCCTGCACAGTACTCCTGGGGACGGGGTGGTGCTGGCAAAAATGGGCCCATTTTTTGCAAAAAACAGTGCATGCATAGGCTTTGGGAGGCTTGTAGAGTGCTCTTGGGGACATGAGAGGGGAGGCAAAAACGAGCAAGACAATGGCTTGTTCTTTGTTCGTTTTTGCCCGCCCCAGCCCTCAGGAGCACCTTGCGGGCCTCCTAAACCCTCTGCATGTCCATTTTTGTGAAAAACTGGATGCACAGGGTGGTGGTGGTTCTGGAAGCCAAAAATGTTGTCTTCAATGTATAAGACGCATCCAAATTTCCACCCTCTTTAATGGAGGGAAAAATGTGCTTCTTATATTCTGAAAAATACAATAATTGTCACGAATGCAGAAATTGAAATTGAAGATTCGGGCGGATTAAGAGCAAATGGATGAACAGAGCTGTATTTTTCTTTAAGGTTGTGGTCTACACTTAGGCTGATTATTGGATCCAGAATTTATTCTGGGTAGCCATATGAAACTGAAGTGAAGAGAATCTTATAACTGACTGCGTTAGATTGGCCTTGATGAAGAGTATTGGTTGACAATACTTCATAATTTGCCTCAATGAATAATTAACTGTACATCATTGTGAAGCTTATTTAAAGCAATTACCCTTCTAATTTAAAACAACCCAAATCTTCCTGTTTTGGTAAGTGCTGAAAGAGAATGTCGTGAAGAGAGCATTGCCTTGCAAGTGCTTTGTCTTTCAATTTTACCAACTGCATTCACCAAGGTCAAATCAACTTTGACAGGTGCTTCAGGAAATGTCTGAGGTAAGTATTTTCATGAGAGTCTGAATTTTTCAGCTTCTGGTAAAAGTTGAAAAAAGAGTGTCTATCTTGAAAAAAAAATCAAAAGAATTCTCTGACAGTGTTGGAGATTTCTGGCATGGACAAATGCTGTTAGAGAAAAATGTTAAGAAGAATGTGATGTTTTCCAGTTGGTTCTCAGCCCTTTTTACTCTTAGAGCAATATTATCCTTGTAGAGGAGCCTAGTCCTATTTCAGTCCTGAAGAAGTTGTTGAAATAGTTACGTTTTTAACAGATATTGCTTATCTGTTAACAGGTAGAAGACATTGTATGTAAATGACTTTGTTTAATCATGATGTTTACTCAGATTGAATCAGGGTGTTTTTTTCAGCAAGTGATTTATTCCATCACCCTAATGTTTAACAGTAG